ACTTTGATAGATTGTATGCTAAAAGAATCACTGTCATACTTCAAATATTATTGCATTATAGAAGTAATAACTTACTTTTATATCTGTACAGAATTCCTCCTACTACCAGGACAATTACAAGAAGAAATGCAAAAATGATCAGCCCGATGTGTTCGCGCTTAAACACTGAAACAGAGAAGAGAGTTCCAATCAAAGCTCAATATATTGAGATATGTAGATATGGACAAGAGCAGGGATAAACCAGATCTACACCAGGTCTATAACAGGACTAAACCAGGTCTAAACCAGATCCAAACCAGGTCTAAACCAGATCTACACCAGGTCTATAACAGGACTAAACCAGGTCTAAACCAGATCTAAACCAGATCTAAACCAGGTCTATAACAGGTCTAAACCAGGTCTAAACCAGATCTAAACCAGATCTAAACCAGGTCTATAACAGGTCTAAACCAGGTCTACACCAGATCTAAACCAGGTCTATAACAGGACTAACCCAGGTCTAAACCAGATCTAAACCAGGTCTATAACAGGACTAACCCAGGTCTAAAACAGATCTAAACCAGATCTAAACCAGGTCTATAAGAGGACTAAACCAGGTCTAAAACCAGGTCTAAACCAGATCTAAACCAGGTCTATAACAGGACTAACCCAGGTCTAAACCAGGTCTATAAGAGGACTAAACCAGGTCTAAACCAGATCTACACCAGATCTATAACAGGACTAACCCAGGTCTAAACCAGATCTAAACCAGATCTAAACCAGGTCTATAAGAGGACTAAACCAGGTCTAAAACCAGGTCTAAACCAGATCTAAACCAGGTCTATAACAGGTCTAAACCAGGTCTAAATCAGGTCTATAACAGGCCTTAATCAGGTCTATAAAAGGACTAAACCAGGTCTATAACAGGTCTAAACCAGGTCTATAACAGGACTAAACCAGGTCTATAACAGGACTAAACCAGGACTAAACCAGATCTAAACCAGGTCTTTAACAGGTCTTAATCAGGTCTATAACAGGACTAAACCAGGTCTAAACCAGATCTAAACCAGGTTTATAACAGGTCTAAACTAGGTCTAAACCAGGTCTAAACCAAGTCTATAACAGATCTAAACCAGGTCTAAAACCGGGTCTATATGTCTACAGACCTATAACAGGACTAATCCAGGGCTATCCCGGGTCCATACTAGGTCTATAATAATGACAAACCCAGGTCAAAAATACATAACAGTTTTAACCCAGGGCTAAACCAGAACTAAACCAGGTCCAAACAAGACCAAACCAGACCAAAAAAAAGGACTAAAACTGTGCTTAACCAGGTCTAAACAAGGATTAATCCTGGACTAAACAGGAGTAAACCAGGACTAAACCAGGACTGAAGCAGGTCTAAATTCAGACAGAATCAAGTCAATACCAGCTCTACTTAAGATCAGATCAGAAACAGAAGCCTAAAAGGAATTACATCTGGAATCAGTTGAATACATTGTTTAGTCACTGAAGAATGTGACACCACTTAGTACGAATAGTACAACAGTAGTGTAACGCCCCAGACCACAAAACCACCTAAGTTTCACTTGAAGTTTCAGTTTCGATTTGAATAACTGTTATTTTATTTACAGTGCCTCTTTACATATTAATGACCTGACTAAGTGGCTAAGTGACTTGACTAAGTGGTGTGGTAATTAGAGTTTCAGCTGTTAGTTGGTAAATATATCAATAGATCAATATATACATACTGGCATTAAAAGGCATTGAAAACTACTACTACTTACTACTAATTACTAATTAACATTTAATTTTAAAAATATTTTATTTTATCTGAAAATGGATGCATGTTTTTTTTAGATTAGTTCAGTGTGAGGTCAAGTGAAAATAATGCCAGCCTCTATATGCCAGGGTAAAATTCTTTATATTGCAGTTTCAATGCATTTTAATATAAAACATATTGTTATCGTATTGAACCAACATCATAATACTTGACATAATATTATTTGATATCAGACTAAAACAAAAACACTGGTCTATTAGTATTTATACAATCTTAATAAGGTGATAATTTCTGTCCAATTACATCCATTGGAAAAAAAAATTATAGCTAAAATCTGTACAATCAGTAAAGCATGAATAAGGACTTTCTACGATAACAATGCTCTAATTCAGACATGTCAAACTCAGGCCCAGGGGCCAAATTTGGCCTGTGACATAATTATATTTGGTCCGTGAGATCATATCAAATATGTATTAGAGCTGACCCACCGGCTACATATAGGCTATAGATACATTATTTATTTCAGATTTTGTTATTATTTCATATGATGCTTGTTCTGGATCAGGGGTGTCAAACTCATTTTGGTCCGGGGGCCGTATCCAACCTACTTTGATCCCAAAGGGGCCAGATCAGAAAACTCATGTCATATAAATCCCAAAAATAACAATAAGTTCAAATATTTGTGCAGAGAAACACAAATCTATTACAGAAATCTTTCTAAATTGATGAACTCTTTCTTTTACAAACTATTATATTATTATTAAGAACCTGAAATTTTAAGAAAAACGCAATTTCAACACAATGTTTTAACATGAACTTGTATGCAAATAGGAATAAATCAATTTTTCTTGGAAAATCCTGCACTTCGGGTCCACTTTTCTCACTTTTGACATTTTGTTGATGAGGGTGTCACGGTCAACAGTCAAAACGATCGTCCTTTAAGAGCGTTTGGAAAGAGACAAGTCTTCATTTGTGCTGCTCTGGTGGGAGGGGCCACGCACAGAGACGCTGGAGACGCTGCTGTGCTAAGCACCGCAGAAAATTACCAATATTTTAATAGAAAATATAATTAAAATATTTTTGTAGAAAATCAACCGAGGGCCAGATTAAAGGACTTGGAGGGCTGGATCTGGCCCCCGGGCCTTATGTTAATTAAATGTTTACGCAAAACGATTATCAAGCATTTATTTTAATAAGAACAGTTTTAACATTACATATCTTGGAAGAAGAGAAAACATGCAGATGTTGTTGAAATTTTTCAATGTATTTTTTTATTTAGTTTTGCCCATGGCTTAGCCGTAGTTTTTAATTTTGGCCTCTGTGAATTTCAGTTTGACACCCCAGCTCTAATTCATCACTTTTTTTGCCTATTACTACAAAACCATGAAGGTCTGGTCCAGCTGCTTGTAAGCTCTCATAAGATTTGACAATAGGGGGAACTGTCATTTTCTCTATTACTGGTTTTAAAGTTTTTTTTTTATATATATAATTATGCCTTCATCTCTTGATATTTTTTGCTACTTATTTAAAATATATTATTATCATTATGTTTTGTATTTGTTATTATAATATATTGTGACGTGTCCAAGTAATTTCCCTTGTGGATCAATAAAGTTTGTCTAAGTCTAAGTAACACAAACAGTAACTCACCACAAACACAATCAGACTCACTGCTTCCCCCTTGTGGTTCATATCCAGCTGCACATCTAGAGAAAAGACACAAGTGACATAAGTGCATATGACTGGGTTTCATGTTTTTCTTATTATTAGTTCTTGGTTTGGTGGGATAGTGCCTGTGGTCAATATTTACTATAGTTTTACATCATTTAGTGGCAATTTATGGGGAAAACAAGTTAAGACAAAATCGATCTATTATCTTTCTAAGCCTAATCAAAACTATTGTGCAAATCACACAAGTTTCATCTGCTGCTCGTGCCCAAACAGGAAGTAAAATGTTAAACTTCTTCAAAATATAAAAACATACTATTGTTATTATTCTACGCACTAGTGACTGCCAACAGAACATATTTAGATTGTAAATGATAAACTTTCAAATAGAGGTAAAAATATGAGGTAAAAATATTGTATAGTATTAAAGTGTTAATGCCTATAATGTTTATTTTTGTCACTGTTAAATATGTTTTGGGAATGTACTTACACAGTCATTTTCTTACAGGTTTCCTTCCAGGACGTTTCAATAGAGAAAGTTCCATTAGGACATTTTTCACACTGGGTGTCCTGAGTCTGTCCTCCTAAAAATATCAACAGATCAAAAATTAAAAAATATCAATAAAATGTTGTATTAACCCTCTCTACATGATCCTAGTATTTTGTTTCAATATTGAAAATCCTCTGCTTGCTGGGTAAGAAAAATCAATTATGATTATGACAACAAATTATGCATCTGTTGGTTAACTGCTGGAAATGGAAGTAATTATCCAAATAAAATGTCTCTATATTGATCAAAATAAAACTCTGATTAAGCTTATTATGAGAGTAAAACATAACAACATGATGAAAAGTAGATTTTAGATGATTTAAATGTTGGTCTGGCAGGGACAGGGTTTGGCCTGCTGTACTGGAGAGGGGACAATATTCGCAAGATAAAACTGTCACAAGATTGGGCATATGGGGAAAATGATGTTGTGAGATTATTTTTCCATGTGTTTACATTTGGATAGGACAAGAAAGGATAAGTGATACTCAAACTTTTCCAAAAATATGAAATTAAAACAAATAAAACCTTGAGATCAAAACTGTGAACTGAACTGAAATCAATAATGAAATAAATAAATACATGTTCAGTGCGCTGTACCTATAATCTTTGCTCCGAAGCCTGGATCACACTCTGTGTGGGGGACACAATTGATGCAGGACTCGCTGGAGCAGTGGAAGCCTTCTCTGCACAAACACTCGTGTTTCTGTGTTTTACTGGTGCTCTTAGGTAAATCAAAATTCCAGATCTGAAATCATACAAAAGACACAAGAGATACTCATTATATGTGCCTCTGCTGAGGCGATTGTGATTAAATGTGATTATATTTAATAATATTCTGCTCAAAGTTCACAATTTAAACACATCCAGAAGAATTGACAAAAACACTGAAATATGAACAGGTTTGTACAGCTCTCAACTACAGGGTTAGCCATTTAGGACATATTTTATTTTTTTTATATTTTAGGATATTTTATTGTTTGTCCTTTTCAATGACATTTGTTGACTTACATACAGGTTTCATTTTAGACTTTTAGAAACAACTTCCTGTATTTTTGTAGTTTTCTTCTGAAGCTACAACTTATCTAATTTTAAATATTTACCACAGATACAGTCTCACCAAACCTAGAACTAGAGAGTCATGCAGACCTGCATATGCACTTTAAATGAGCACATCTCGTGTATTTCTATTGACATCGTCCTTACTGGGGTCACAATATGGCTGCAGTTCACATGTCTTCTTGGTGTTGTACTCATCTGTATATTCATTTTCTTCACACTCAGTGCACTCAGGACTTCTACACACTACCGATGTCATGCTGGTCCCTGCAAAAGAATTACAGGAAAAGAAATGAAGAAGAATCTACAATGAAATATACAAAATATACACAAATTACAGAAAGGACATTTGAAATATTACATTAAAAAATAAATCAAATCTTTAAATAATGTCCACTCTTACATGCCTGGCCAGTCAAAAAAACACACTTTGACAATCCTATTTTGACAAAGACGTGTGGGGCAAATATCCAGTTTGAGGCATGATTGACAGTTGGATTAACCAATCAGAGAAATGCATAGTCTATTTCTGTCTAAACAAACTGATTTTGTTCTGAATGATGCAAGAATTTTAAAGGTAAAGCTTTTTGGGCACATGAATAAATGGGAGACATTGTAAATGCAGCAGATCTGCACTTACTGCAGACAATATGGACAAGTTGGATTTTCTGGCCTAAAAATATGAAGACTGAGTAAAACTTCATGCTGGAACTGTTAGTGCTGCGCTTTACTTTTTGAAAAGTTTTGTTTACTGTTTACAAGGAATTTATTTTATATAATATTTCATACATTTGTTGCTTATTTGAGAATATTTAATTTAACTTAATTAGTATTACCAAGCAGCACTTTGCATTTATATGATAAATTTATTTTCAATTTGTTTAATATTAAAACAAATTGTTGGTTTAATAAAAACACAAATAAACATCAAGCAAATGATTTTCCATTTTGTTTCAATACTGTAACAAAAATGAACTGAACCGTGACCTCAAAACCGAGGTAAGTACTGAACCATGATTTTTGTGTACCATTACACCCCTAGTATTTAGACAAGACACTTCAGTCACCATGCCTAGTCTGAATGTGGTGTGTGTGTTGATGGAGGTGGAGGGGCAGATGGGAGATTGGCAGCCTTGCTTCTGTTGTGGCAACTTTACCACCAGTGAATGAATAACACACTGTAAAGGGCTTTGAGTGTCTTCAAAGGTGCTATACGAATCCAAATGATTATTATTATAAATGAAAATAGACAAAATTCAGTCAAAAGAACAAGGTATTACACTAGGGCTGTCAAACATGGGGGTGTGGCAAAAGCTTTCCAACATGAGCTGACCATCTGATCTGATCTGACTTCATGTGACAACAATTATTTATACAGAAAAGTACAGGGGAACGTGTACAGGATTCAGTCGTAAATCTTCAGATGATCCACTCCCTACCCTCTTCTTTCTCACAGAATTAGTTGACTAATAGACATTTTGGACTGAGTCGTCATTAACCAAATTATTTGACTGAACAGCTAAAGAATCATACCATCAATTAAACGTGGCCTTAAAGTACAGTGTACATCCACATTTCAGAGATATGATGCAAATGATGACTCTTTTTGAACAGGATGTAAGAGAGAGTGGCTGCTCAGGCGTGTCTCCTTATGTCCGTAATAGGATAAGAGACTCGAAAATGAGCAGTAAGGGAAACAAATGGGGGTAGATTTCTATATATTGACTATTAAAGGTGCATTGTGTAATTTTTCTGATGAAGGTCTGAACTTTTCTATCATCAGAAACCAAATCAGGTCAATTACAGGTCAGGTCTTTGGCAGATCAAGGTATTTTTGAGCTATAAAACCACCTCTAATTGAATAAATGTAAGTTAGAGCTGTTTAATGTCATACTGTGGAACATTCTAGGCAGAGCAATGACATCTCTATAGAAACAAGCAGGTGACGGACCCCAACCAAAAAGTTACATAGTGCACCTTTACAAACCAGGAGGAAGAAAACAGGTTTAATGCCATATATAAAAACGATAAGTGAAAATATATATGCTTCAGTAGATTTGAACCACAAAAACTGTTCTAAATCTACAATATTGCAGAATGAAGTAGTATGTAGTAATGAGTCATAGAAGTTATAAATATTATAAATATTTCCCACTAGTGCAAAGTACACACGATAAATACTGGCCCCCCAAAAATATTGTTCCAGATAAGTCGATATAGTAATTATCTTGACAGACAAGAACATCTCAAAAACCCTCTACCAGAAAAGTTCCATAGTGTGTCTTAAATATTTGAAGGCAGAGTAGTTCAAAATACCTGGTTTACACTTTTGACAGCACTCTCCATTTAGCAGGTACTGTGTTTCTGGGTCGCAAACAGGCTCTGCAGCCGTCAGCACCTGGAAGAAGAAACAGGTTCAGATTGTAAATTCAAAGTTTAAAGGTCTTATATTATGCAAAATTAACTCTTGTGAGCTTTAAGCCACGTTAGAATGTAGTTACATCCTCAAAAACATACTGTATATACTCTTATACTTGTTCTGACCAAGCTCAAGATCATTCTAAAACTATTCAGGAAAACTTAATTTCTGTCCTGTGAATAAGACTTTTTAGAATCGATATCTGCTCCTAAGAGTATCTACTTTAGATACTTGTGTTAGTATTGATTAGTATCTGATTTTCAATACTTTTGACAGCCCTAACGTACTTAGTTGTGTCATCAATGCTTACAGCTGAAACTAACTATTTATGCAGTTATTTGCTTAATCTATTATTTTAGCCAGTGCCAATATTTGCTTCTCTCGTGTCCATTTCTCTTCAAGCTACAATGATGCCAGTACTGCAATGAGTAGTTTAAGTTCCTTATTGTTTGACGTATGTGAGAAATGTACAGTCATTTCACAATAATACACGTAGGATTTGGCAGTGTCGTATTTTGGTACATATGGGAAAAAAAACAACTAGCGTGATCTGCATCTATCCATCAGAGGAGGGACCAAGTCATTGTTTTGTAAGTCTCAAGTAAGTCTCAAGTCTTTGACCTCAAGTCCGAGTCAAGTCCCAGGTCAAATACAGGCAAGTCCAAGTCGAGTCTTGAGTCACTGGCCCATAAGTCCAAGTCAAGTCCAAGCTTTGAGCTTCGAGTCATTTAAACCAAAGTACCAAATATAACATAGATTTTTGCAATTTATATGAATTGTAAACTTAATTGTACGTAAAACGTCATGGTATATTTATATATGAGTATTTATAAGAGGTGTAGAAATGCAAATTTGTCTTGAATCAGTTTGAATCATGGTCAGAACAGACAGAATTCAGATTTAAAAGTGCTAAATAACAGTTATTTTGTCATGTATCTGCACTGAAATGGAAGGATCATGTTCTACGTAGTTCCCTTTGTTTTACTGTATTTTACTGTGTTGTACTGTATATTACTGTAGTACATTTGAGGATAACACATCACAGTACTTCAGTTACATCCAAAGTAACAAACAGAGAAGTGGGAGGGTCATGTTCCACTTTGTTCCTTTAAAATTAACCACCGCACGTACCAACTGTAAAGACAAAAGTATTTTCTAAAAACATACATTTTTTTAGGAGAAGCATCGAATCTTCTCAAGTCACAGGCCTCAAGTCCGAGTCAAGTCCCAAGTAATTGACTTTCAAGTCCAAGTCGAGTCCCAAGTCTTAGTCCATTTTTGGTCAAGTAAAAAATAGTGACTCAAGTCTGACTCAAGTCCAAGTCACGACTCACAAGTCCCCACCTCTGATATCCATAGAAGGGGCTGACAACTTCAAGGCTCTTTGTTGTGATGATGTTTACAATGACATCAGCTCCCATTGGGCACCTCAGTTTTCTAGCACAGAAGTCAGGACTTTTTTCTTTTATGAAGTTGTTTTTGAAGAATATTGAGATTTAAAATGTCCAAATGATAACATAATGATTCACAGATGTCATAGATTATAACTATATATCAGACACAAGCACCATACGTCTCCTTTAATATCTTCTTCATACATTACACACTCCTGTTTGTTTTAAAGCTGCACACTGTAACATTTCTGGAGGACATGCCACTTGGTCGTCTCCATGCAGATGTTACTTTTTCAGCCACAGTTTTCCACATTATGACATAAGACTTATCGATCTCTATATGATGACAAGTGGGTGACACCATCAGGCCAAGTTACAGCTCAGATCTGTGGTGAGGTGGACCCGCTTGAAGTAAAATTGCACGTTTTTCAAGATATTTAAGCTATTTTAGCAATGAATCTCCATGGAGACAAGCAAGTGGCAGACTATGCACGGTAAACGTTACGTGGTACACCTTTAAAAGAAAAAAAAAGATCGAAAACAAAATTACGTAGTTGATTATAACTGACATGGTGAAGTACGTCCTTTATCCAGTCTTCCCCAGTGTAAACGTGAAGAGAGAGTGACGGAAAGTACCCAGGATTCACGGTTGGTAAACCAACAAAAACAGAACTTACAACATTTTCAAGCGATACAAATTATGTTGTTCCCCCTCTTTCAGGCGTTACAATGGCTCTCTACTCAAAACGAAAGTGAAACTACACAGACGACCACCGAGTCATTGTAGGCGGTTTGACTGGACAATTTTGACCAAACAGCAAAATAAGGTAAGCGAAAGGAAGCTAAAGCAAGCCAAATCGTCAAATAACCTCATCTTACGCGTAAAAACAGAACTATAATTACAAAATGTTACCAAATGTTACTGACTTCTGCTTTGCCCCCAATACAAAACACAAGCATGCGCACTTAAAAACGAACATTGCATTCACTTACCACCACCAGATTCCATATCAGAAAAACGCTAGCGCTGTACAGAAACATGTTGACAAGTGAGGCGTAGAGAGGTTTATCCGTGCTTAATGCCAAACGATCTTTCCTTTATAGTTTCAGATCCTCCAGCCGCGCGCAGTGGGCTGGGCTTTGAGCGCAGTTGTTGTGCTTGAAATACTGGTACTTTCCCACGTGACTTAAAAAAAAATGACCATTTCCTGTAAACGGGGTGAGGGAATACAGTCTGTGGAGAGTACAGAGGGCAGTGACCGAGTGAGAGACTGACAGTAATAACAAAGAGACACACACACAGACACACACACACACAGACACACACACAGACAGACACACAGACAGACAGACACACAGACAGGTAGATAAATAGGTAGATAGGTAGTAGTAGTAGTAGTAGTAGCAGTTGTTGTAGTAGTAGCAGTAATGGTAGTAGTAGTAGTAGTAGTAGTAGTAGTCAGTGTTGGGAAGGTTACTTTTAAAATGTAATCCCCTACATATTACAGATTACACACCCCAAAATGTAGTTTGTAACATAATCCATTAAATCACTTAAAGTGAGTAACGTAATCTGATTACTTTGGATTACTTGATATTGTCATGTTTTTTTAAACAACATGAATGTAGCAACCACATCCTCAAAATTCTTGTTTGTTGTCTTCAAATTGTCTGAGCCCAAGTCTCCATGAATAAGCAACTGTTTGCTGTAGAGAAACAAAGACCACGATATCTTAACATAAGAGGTTTTGTCTGTTAAAAAACAGTAACAAGATCAGTCTTTCCTTCACCATATTAAAAAATATTATTGATAGAGAAGTTATTTTTTATATGAGATCACCTTAAATTATGTCAACCTACTGTTAGGTGTCATGTTGTTTAGACCTGGTTTAGTCCTGATTTTTAGACCTGGTTTACTCCTGATTTTAGACGTGGTTTAGTCCTAGTTTAAACCTGGTTCAGTCCTGCTTTAGTCCTGGATTAGTCCTGGTTTAGTCCTGGATTAGTGCTGGTTTAGTCCTGGTGTTAGTTCTGGTTTAGAGGCGCACAGGAGGAAGCGCGGTTTACGCGAGAAAACACGTTCCACACGCGGCGCACGAGACGGCGGTGTCCGCGCTGTAACTACGGAAGGAGACGTGGTCCGCGGGTTCTCAAGTTGATGACGATGATGAAGGTGTGTGTTTGTGTGTGTGTGTCCACTCATGTGGCAGGTCATTATAGGACAGTAGTGCAGATATTATGAGTCTATGCAGGTTGTTTTCACCAGTGCCAGTAGCTCCAGTTTCACATTTAAGTTGTAGGCGATTTTATATATATATATTTTTTTATATATATCTCACATCGGGAGAAGAATTTCCAAGACACAAATGCGTTTTTACCAATGCACTGCTGCTTCCACTGTGTGACTGACACCGCCAACTTTAACATGACGTTTACGTCGCTCTTATTGCGCGCGTTCTGTTTGGGTTTCCGGCAATGAGTGGAATTACCGAAATAAAAAATAAATAAATGGGATGTAGCACAAAATGTGAAAACAGGAAAATACCGCCTTGTAATCCACTTATTTCAGCAAAGTAACTGTAATCCAATTACCACTCATTGAAACGGTAACTGTAACGGAATACAGTTACTCATAATTTGTACTCTGATTACGTAACGGCGGTACATGTAATCCGTTACTCCCCAACACTGGTAGTAGTAGCAGTTGTTGTAGTAGTAGCAGTAATGGTAGTAGTAGTAGTAGTAGGAGTAGCAGTTGTTGTAGTAGTAGCAGTAATGGTAGTAGTAGTAGTAGTAGTAGTAGTAGGAATAGGAGTAGGAGTAGTAGTAGTAGTAGTAATAGTAGTAGTAGTAGTAGTAGTAGTAGCAGCAGCAGTAAGAGTAGTAGTAGTTGCAGAAGTAGCAGTAGTAGTAGTAGTAGTTGCAGAAATAGCAGTAGTAGTAGTAGTAGCAGTAGTAGTTGTAGTAGTAGTAGTAGTAGTAGTTATAGTAGTAGCAGTAGTTGTAGTAGTAGTAGTGGTAGTAGTTGTAGAAGTAGAAGTAGTAGTAGTAGTTGCAGAAATAGCAGTAGTAGTAGTAGTAGCAGTAGTTGTAGTAGTAGTAGTGGTAGTAGTTGTAGAAGTAGAAGTAGTAGTAGTAGTAGTTGTAGTAGTAGTAGTTGTTGTAGTTGTAGTAGTAGCAGTAGTTGTAGTAGTTGCAGAAGTGGTAGTAGTTGTGGAAGTAGAAGTGGTACTAGTAGTAGTAGTAGTTGTTGTAGTTGTAGTAGTAGTTGTAGAAGTTGTAGTAGTAGTAATAGTAGTTGTTGTTTTAGTAGTTGTTGTTGTTGTAGTTGTAGTAGTAGTAGTTGTTGTAGAAGTTGTAGTAGTAGTAATGGGAGTTGTTGTTGTAGTAGTAGTTGTTGTAGTAGTTGTAGTAGTAGTAGTAGTAGTAGTAGTAGTAGTAGTTGTTGTTGTTGTAGTAGTTGTTGTAGTAGTAGTTGTAAAAGCAGTAGTAGTAGTAGCAGTTGTAGTAGTTGTAGAAGTAAAAGTAGTAGTTGAAGAGGTAGAAGTAGTAGTAATAGTAGTAGTAGTAGAATCAGTATCACTAAATTTAATCTAAGTTTCAGCACAAATTTTCAAAATTTGAAGGAGTAAATACTTAGTCAATGTTGGCATAACCTTATATACATTTTCAGATAGATAGATGCATAGATAGTAGTAGTAGTTGTAGTAGTAGCAGCAGCAGCAGCACTAGTAGTAGCAGCAGTAGAAACAGCAGCAGTAGTAGTTGTAGTAGTAGCTGTAATAGTAAATATAGCAGTAGTAGCAGTAGAATCAGAAATTGTAATAAATGTGCTAAAAACATTTAATAGTAAATATAAGCTATGATAAAATTTTAATAAGAGCATGCTTATAAGTAAGTAAATAAAAATACAGAATGGGCAGAGCAAAACTGCAAAACTAGTTTAATAGTAGAAGTAGTTAATATTTTTGTTGTAATAGTTGTAATGCTACTAAATAATTCAGTTACAATTACAAGAAATTATGTAGTATTTTATTTGTTGCAGTAATACGTAGTAGTAGTAGTTGTTGACGTTGTTGAAGATTTTTTATTGAATATTTCATATAAAAATGACCTGATATAATTTGAAGTAAACATGATCCAGTGTTGTTTTATATACATACTATAAAATATTAGGTCTCAAGCCCGTTTCACGTTTGGTTGCCTGATCTTGCGTTTGTCGTCCGTATGCAAACATCTGAAAATGACAGAAAATGACATCATTAGTTCTTAGTTTTTAAAACAGCTGGAGTTCATGTTACGTGTATTCTCTTGAACTGCACTGGGGATTTCTTCCTGCTTTTAAAAGGAGGAAGAGAAAATAAATACAAACAGCCCAGTCCAGTACTGCAGTAAAACATGAGGGTGTTTCCCCTGTGTGTGCATTCCAGGTTTCACCAAAACACACTCCAGAACTTAATTAAACTACTTCCCCGTAACACAAACTGAAGTGTAGCTATTGGAAATGACGATCTATTACACACATTTTATATATTTTAACAAATCTGAGGGAGTTAGGAAGTGTAGCTAAATACTTTCCATGTAAGAAGTACTCGTTTCAGTCCAGACTGAAGTACCATTCTGTTAAATATATGGTGGTAATATTGCTCTAGTACGGAGTTCAAATGGTCCTGTATGTTTTGATCTAATCAAACTGACATAAAGTAAAAGTGGAAGATGATAATGGTGGAGGATCTGCCACCAGCTTGACATGTTATTGCTTTGCCTTGAATGTTCCACAGTACGGCATTAAGCGTATCAGTCCTTCATGTATTCACTTATAGGTGTTTAATTTCTAAAAAGACACCGGAAGATATGCATTTAAACTGTGAGCGGGGGCACCTCTCCACAGACCTGGTCTGTAACTTGGTATGAGGGTGTCCCCTGCTTGTCTCCATGGTGATAGATAAGATTTATGACACACTGTGCAACATTCCTGCCAAAGCAATAACATCTCGCTCCACAGCTGACTGTACACCAGAAAAGTTACAGAGTAAACCTTTAAGATATTGTTGGAGCCTAAACTCAGTTTTGTAATTTTCATCATAATCATTATTGAGATAACGATTCCTGTTTTGTTTGGATTTTATATTTAGTGAAGTACAGGATTTGTGGACTATTTTAGGTCATTCTTCATGTTTAGAATGATTTTTTGGTGATCATTAGCTTAGATATTTATTTAGCTTACATATTGCTATTATTGCTAATGTTAATCACAAGTTTTACCTGAATAATGTTTATTTTTCTATTATTTGGTGGTCCCTGGCTCCTTACTGAAGACCTGTGCAGGTGCACCCTGGGTAACGTGGAGTGAAGCCAAACGGTGGTTTGACCTTCTGACCTTTTCTGCTCTTTACCTGTGAAGTCCCCATTTTAAAAAGTCAAATCAATCAATCAAAGTTTTGATTTGATTTGACCTTTATTTAACCAGGTAACATAACACGGAGATGACCAGTCTCTAGTGACCTTACCAGTAAATGAAAATGAAGGTACCAAAAACTCATTCAAATGTGTCATCACTTTTCACCAATACACAACTTTTGTGACGTACCCAAAGTAGATAGAGAAGGCAAAAATACGAGTACTGTTGACCTACTTCATTCATTTGAAAGCAGGTTACAGAAAAATATATTACACATACATGATACATGATCACATTAAAACAGTATTTTTAAATATACAGTCTCATTAAAAAGCCTGAGCTGAAACAAATAAATAGCAGAATAAACCACTGATTAGCCATAGGAGTTATTTATTCAACCCTCTACAGCTCAAATCTTACTATATAACATAAAAATATCAGAAATTTCCCAGTTATTGCAAAGAAAAAGTACACGTGATAAATACTGAGTCCCAAAATATATTATCCCAACTTTTATATATTGAACAATTAGCCTATATAGTAATTCTCATAACAGGCGCATATAGAGTAACCAAAGGTGAGAGTACTGTACTTAATTCCTTTCAAAAGTTTACTCAAGTAAGAGTTCATTTATAAATAACTAGGCAATACTAAGTCATTTCTCTTTCCCTCTTTTTGGTAGGTTCACAACAAGGACAAGACTGCAATATCACTGCTCAAGAATGCCCTCAAATGCGCCCTCTGGTGGATAA